ATTTTTTTCTTTCAAAACGAAGCATTTAACTATATGTGCGCTCTTTCAAAATGTAGCATATACACTGTATGAGTATAGATAGAGTATCAATGTATATACATGTTTGTACATTGATACATGTATAAAATTGATAGCATATACACCATATGATACAAAAATTGTGCCAACAATTTTGAGATATATGTATTCTGCTAGAAAATATAAAAATAACTATATTTTATAATTATTTAAAAGTATCACTATCAAATATAATTATGGAGTATAATAAGTTACATTAGATAATTTTTTCTAAATTTAAACTCGGACTACAACTTAAATATGGGGAGTAAATGACATATATATACAATTGTTATGAAAAATTAGCAACAAATAGCCCATAATTAAATAGCATTTATTCCATGGAGAGGGTGGTTATTACAACATACATTGATTTCAACAGATTCACTTGCTTGATTTCAAGCCATCTAAATGTCGATACCTCCTTGAATTCATTTGATTTTCATTATAAAATTGACGACAATTCTATGCCGATGTTGATACGAAACACTATGGGATTACGAGTATACATCGAATTGAAGAAAGGTTCAAGAAACTTCAAAGATTATCCATTGTGCATAACTTGAAAAACTATAGATATTCATCATACACTTTCAATTAATGGAGAAAAATACAGGGAGGTCAATACCCAAATAATAGCTCATGGTAACACCAACACATACAATTTGAATGTAATTGAATATAACGACATGGCTGCTCGGGAGATTGCATATTTTATCTATTATCAAATGATCTAGTTTTTATTACGTGAATGAACAGTCATGTATACAATGCATTAATATATACATATTCGTGTATTCATTCACTAAAAAATTAAACATTGAATCGAATAATCTTTTATCACATGAATGAGTTTTTATCACGTGAATGAACAATCATGTATACAATGCATTCATGTATACATATTCGTGTATTCATTCACTAAAACTTTGTATGCATTTCAGATTCTTCCTTCAGTGTGTAAATGAAGATTGCACTTGAAAATTAAAATGCTCAGCATTACACAAGTCAAAAATATTCAAAGTTAGACGATTAATTGTTGAACACATTTATCCTGCAAAGAATAGACTAATGTCGCAACGAGTTGCTACCTCAACTATACTTGGAAGAGAAATACAGTACAAATATCATGATCCAAAAGTTGTATACAATGCGATAGACAAAATTACTGATATGCATAAACAATTTGGACTTGATTTGACATACTGGAAAGCACATAGAGCAAAGTTAAAAGCATTGAAAATGGTTAGAGGTGATCCCAAAGAAGAGAAAAAAAAAGGAACAAAGACCCACTTCCCAATAAAACTGTCACATGCTGCCACCAAACTTAAAAATAATTAATTTAAATATAAATAACTTCCCATGGAACAACGTGGGCTAAATTATGCCAATTTTAATTTTAAAAAGCCTTTTTTTTGTTATAAAAATAAAAAGGAGCTAAATATTGCCAATTAATAAAAAGAGATTACATGTTGTGCCATTTTTTCCAAATTTTTCCGGTATTTGGTCATGAAGTGATCATATGATAACTAATCGGCCACATAGAAGTCCCTATTACTTTGGGCCACATAGAAGTCCATATCACTTTCCGCTATGCTGGCCCATAGTTTAATTTTGAATTATTCAGTTATAAGAAATTTCACTAGTTTAGGAGCTAATTATATTGATACATTCTAGTTTACAATATTATGAATCTTACTAGAATTTGGTGCATCCATATACGTCCAGATACATGTATTTCGGGATACATGAGGTCAAAATTAGGTGTAGTTTTTTCTAGATACATTGTATCAAAGTGGATTCACATGTATTTGGATATATTAAAAATTTCCCTCGCCTCCCTCCCATTTCGCTCACCACTCTCCTATGTATCTGGTATCTCAGATACATGTGAATCACACTAAATATATACATATACATGTATCTAGTGTGATTTGCATGCATCTGGAATACATGACTATCTCGCTCGCCTCCCTCCCCATCTCGCTTGCCTCTCTTCCTATTTTAGTGTATTAGTTGGAAGCAAAAATACATGTATCTAAATGAATCTTCCTCAATATATACGGTAGAAAACTCTTAATTAGTGATAGTATATGTAATTATTTAAAAATATAGATAGAATTAGTATATATGTCATGTATGTCTAGTAAGGTAGTTTCCCCATAAACTTGAAGGGGATGGGGCTTGGCGGGAGAAATCACGAGAATTATAAATTGATTTTAAGAATTAATTAGCTAATTACTACCACTAAGACGTATGAAATTGTAGTTTCGCTCAAACACGTAATTGTTTATTTATGAAATTTGCTCAAGCACTTTGTATAAATTGTTTATTTAGATAAACATTATTGATTTGGTCGTTACAAATATACATCATTACCTAATAAATTCATTGACCACGTTGCATGGATCTTTAAAAGATATATAGTGGAGTAGCTATTTGGGCCTCTTCAAATAGCTAATAATTCTCATATTTTGATATGGGAAATGTTCAACTTAGACATGCCTTTTTTATACTATCATTCCAATGAGGTGAAAATTGCATGCTTTACCATATTTATTATAAAGCAATGTTTTTTTTTTTTGGAATCTCAGAATAACCCGCAGCCGCTGCAAACCACACAGAGGATGTAAACCGCACAGTCATCCTGAAGGACATAATAAAGTAATGTTACTTCAGGAGAGAATCATTGATTTGACGGATAAACTATGTGAGAAAATAGATCTTTTTTTTTAATAATTTACCGTAGATTTGAAAGTAACAATTTCATTCAAATTTTTTTTAACTTTAAAAATATTATATTATTAAGCATAGAATACACGTGCAACACACGCATTGGAGAATTAGTTTATGACCAAAGTATCCAAATAACATCCATTAATAACAATATTTTAAATTAGTAAATTCAAGAGTACTTTTCCAAGTTTGAAAGCAAAGGTTTGTTTAAACACCCAAGTCTAGTCATTTTGTAGAAAAGTATTCAATCTCTAAATTTAATACAAAACAAAAAAAAATAGTATTTAAAAAATAAAAATCAAACACCTTCCTAGTTACTTCCATTAGAACTCTTCTTTGTGTTTCTAATAGACTTTGGTTTCCACCTAGTATATGACTAAGATTATTTTTTATTTCTATTCGATCTTCGATATTTTCATGTCGATTAAAATCTAATTCGTGTCAGAAAATTTAATATTAGTGATAGAATCTTTATTAATTAACACAATTTCCTCCAAAAAGATTCAAATTCGAACCTTTTAATTAAGAATAACGTAATATTTGTCATTTTATCCCAAAATTAGTGATAAAATGTTTCTTAAGTAGGACGATTTCATTCTCAAAACTCAAAGTCTAACTCCTACTAAGAACAAAGAAGTTTTTATCGCTCCCAAGTGAAAGACTCAAAGTTTAAACTCTCTGATTAAAGAGAAAAATTTTTATTTTGTACCAGACACACTTATTGTCAGTTGTATGAGGGCCTCTTTGGCTGCCATTTGTATATTCTGGGACCCACTGGCTACTATTTATCTATCTGAATTTCTTACTTTTTCTCTCCTTAAATTTTAATCTTTTCTCTTACTTTTTCTTTCTCATCACACATTGTCTTCTTTTTTCAGCTTCTTTTTAACCCTTAACGTAATTTTAACTTTAGTTTAATTAATTATTTTTTTCATTTTACTCACTTTCTATTAATTTATTATTTTTTGTTCTCAAAATTCAAGCTATAAAATATTTTTTATTATATTAACATGACAAGAATTGCAACTAATAATATTTTAGGTTGAATTGCAATTTAGTGAGAAGGTTATATTTTTGAACAAACACTATAAGTTGCAATTCTTATCATGTTAATATAATAGTAAAAAAATTATTTTAAAAATATCAAATAAATTTCACATAGCTTGAATTTCAAGAATAAACATATATCATATAAATTGAGAGAGATGTATGTATGTAGGAGTTTATGGATGATTTTTGATTTTGGATTACATGAAAATAGAAACAAAACTTGTGTAATTATTTGTGAAGATTACAGATGGTCTTTCTGTTATATTTTCTTGTTGGAGAATATTAGATACATTTAAGTGTTTACGAAATTAGAAAATTATGAAACTATTGAGAAGAGAAAAAAGTTGATTTTATTCTCCTTTCGTATTAGTTATTTTACTTTTTTTACACGTTCTTTAATAAATTATTAATAAAAATGATAATTTACTAATTTACTCTTTAAGATATTTTTATTTTTTTTATAACTTTACAAATTTTGTTTATACTTAAAAAAAATATTTGCTAGGGTAATGAAAATAAAAAAAATGATAGTTTAATTTTGTTAATCGATAAATAATTTTAATAATTATTTTTTAGTAATTTATATAACTAATATAGGATAGAAAAATAATACCAAATGTTAGGAGTATGATGAATTAGGCCAAATTTTATACTTTTAAAATTATTTAAAGATAAGGAAAATAACAAAATTTGAAATAATGGTTAAAACAAAACATGAAAGTGGAAAAGTTAAAATAATGGAAAAAAGTTAAAACGTAAGAGAGAGAAGGAACTTTGACCCATTTTTCCCAATTATTCACTTTTTAAATTATGAAAGGAGAGTCATACAACTTTTGTAGGCCACCTCATACTTGTCCCTCAAACATCATAAAATTTTTCGATTAAAATAAAGCTGTTGCTTGTTATATACCTAGAATTCCACGTAAAGGAAGCGGTCAATTAACTCCATCGAATTTGTCATCAACTTCATTCCCCCTTTCTCTTTCAAAAATCTATATAATCTAAGCCATTTCACCCAAAATTTTCAACAAACACTTCAATTTTCTTGATTCAATCATCACAAATCCCAAGAAAACCAATTCTTACAGCATTTTGGTACATACCCAAGTTCTTGAATTTGAGTTTTTTCTGAACAAAAAAAATACAGAGCACAAAAAATGGATAAACTTTTAACAACTTTGTTACTCACATCAATCTTGTTTTCTACTACTTATGCTCAGAATCACAACTGCTCATCTTTTGCATTCAGAAATAACCAGATTTTTGCAACTTGCATTCCTCTACCTGTACTAAACTCTGTTCTTCACTGGACTTACTATCCAAATAACCACACAGTTGATCTTGCTTACAGACATGGAGGTGTACCAAATACAGATTGGGTAGCTTGGGGTTTAAATATTGATGGAACAATGATGGTTGGTTCACAATGTTTAGTTGCATTTAGAAATTCTAGTGGAGAAATTCATGCTTACACTTCCCCTGTTTCTAGTTATAGTACTCAGTTAGCAGAGGGGGCTTTGAGTTTCAATGTTCCGAGAATTGGAGCTGAGTATTCGAATAATGAGTATATAATTTTTGCAACTTTGGAACTTCCTGCTGGAAGGACTAGTTTTAGTCAAGCTTGGCAAAATGGTGGAGTTTCTGGCCAGGTTTTAACAGCTCATGCTATGTCTGGTGATAATCTGAGGTCTATTGGAAGTGTTGATTTTGCAAATGGTTTATAATTTTTCGAATAAATGCATAATGTTTGCTTTATCAAATAATTTTCTATTTATGTTCACCCACAATAAGGGCCTAGGGACTATAAGGCCATTAAAGTAATAACTTGGGATTCCAATTCTTTATTTAAATATATATTTTTTCTATTTCAAAATAATTGAATTGTTCGAGTGTTCAACACCCTCTTAAAAAGGAAAAATTGTACGGAATAATAAACATTTAAATCAAATTAAATGTCATAGCTATTGTTTAGATTATTTCGATTTCATAGCTACTGTTTCGCCGATCTTGCAATCTGATTGGGAGCCACGGAGAACACAGAGATTATATACATATACAAATTCATGTAAATATACAAACGCAATTTTCAGAGATACAAAGAATTTGTAATGTATATGTATACAATCTAGAAAAAACTAGAATGTTTCATTCACGAATCATCCAATTGTTCATAATAAAAATGACAAAGTATAAAACATAGAACATATACATATACATATGCAAATTCACGTAAATATACAAATCATTTTTCAGAGATACAAATGAACCTGTAATGTATACATATACAAATCTAGAAAAAAACTAAAACATTCCATATATGAATCATCCAATTATTTATAATAAAAATGAATCTATACAGAACTGATAAATTCATATCATTACACCTGAACGTATAAACGATTTAACAAACATAATACAATTTTGTTGTTCGATCTTCCAACAAATTGAATTATATAAACTTGTTTGTTCGTATATACAGATTGATACGAAAAACTATACAATTTAATTCGTTAATTATACAAATCAGATCCTCCATAGCAAACCAAATTATAGCCATGAAACGCAATTATCAAAACTATAACTATAGAGCATTAATATGTTTATTTTGTTTGCTATTCCTAAAATTTACTCTTTAAAAAAGAAGATTAGGAAATAAATTAGACAACACTTTTCATTTTTACCCTTCTTAATTATTGTCAAATTAATTTTTAGAATAATTAAACATTAATCATAATAATTAATTCCAAAATTAAATAATTCAAAATGTCTTGAACTCATAACATAGAGAATAATTCAAAGAAATTAAAGTTTCTTGAACTCATCACATAGAAAATCCAAATGAAGGGTAAAAATAAAAGAATATTCTAAAAGTAGTCTTGAAGAATGAACAATTAAGTTAATTTGAAATATGAAAAATGTATCAACAATTCAATTATTTTGAAATGGAGGGAGTATGAAAATATTATTTGGATGAGTATTTTTAATAAATATTTATTGATTTTAGCGATATTTTATTTATTTATTATCATTTATAGCAATATATAACAATGATATGATGAATCTATTATCTACCATGTATTAAAAGTGCATTATGCATGCAATATAAAATTATAAATGTATTATAAGTGTTTTTAAAATACATTATGTTTGTTTGGTAAGAAATTGACACAATGTATTATAAGCGTATTAAAGTGTGTGATAAATATATTATTCATAAATAAAACTATTTCGATAGTATTCTCAACTTCTTAAATTATGTTTTATTATTTTAACTTTATATTATATTTTCATTGAAAAATTGTATTGTTTACATTCTCACTTCATAATGTCTAGGTACATTTTACCTTTTGTAGACCCAATTTATAATATGTGTTAGAATTCTGACCCCTTAATTTGCCTAAGGAACATGTTCTCTATATGTTCCTTTGACGAGTACTAACATTGCGTTAGGTAAAACACGTAAAGAAAAACTCAATGCTTTATCGTGGAAAATCTCAACTCATAATGGGTAAAAAATTATGACCTAAACCTCTATAGGATTTAACTCAACTTCACTAAACTCTGAACCTCAACAAAAGATTACAAACTTATGTAACCTAATGAATTATAAACTCTAATTCCTAAATGTCAACAATTAACAAGATCGTCGAACCTACTTCAAGCTATGAATTCAGATTACAACTCTTACAATCTTAACAACTAACTCTTATTCCTGAACATCAACACAAACCTCCCAAGATTTATGTTTCCAAGTTTTCAAGTCTTCCCAACTTGAAGACTATATTCCTACTTCAGTTTATACCTCACCAGGTCTAGAAAGCATTAAATATATAACTCGATAAAATTCAATACAAGCAAATTTGACTTAAGAACTATAAAGCATAAGCATATGGATCAGGTTCTTCAATTTTGTTTTCTTGCATTGGTTGCGCTTGGATCTTCCGTCAGAACTCTCTCAAATATGAACTCCCTCTATTTAATTGTATTCTGCTTGTAACTCTCTGTGTAAGTGCATAAGATTCCTTGTGAACATCTTACCGTATTTATAGATGTGGGACTTCTCCTTCTTTAAAGAAATGTTCTCCATTCTAAGAAATCCTTTAAGAAAGGAAACTTTTCTACAATTGGACTCTTGTTGTAAACGCGCTCCATCCACTGTCTTAATACTTTTGCTTCGCGTAGTTGATCTTTTCCTTATCCCAGTCAGATTCGATTTGATAGAATTGTCGTAACCTATTTCTTTCATATATATCTATTGTTGACACCCGATTTTGACCCTCCCCGACAAGAATTAATTTTCGAGTTTCTTTAATTTCAAACGATTTGAAATAATTGATTTTATAAAAATTCAAAATATGTTCAAGAGAGTTTTAAGAATTTTATTCACTTTTATAATATTTTGAATATCTCAAATGATAAATCTGTTTATATTGTTACGTGTGTAACTGATATATTTTACAAATACTTGAAAACTATCTTGAAAATATTTCATTTATTTTTAACGTTAAACACTTTACTAATTTAATTTAGTCTGAATTATAGGTATGTTTTTGAATTAATTAGTTTGATTAAGTTAATTATTTTATTTTGTTAAATTTAAGAAGCTTGTAATTAATCTTGTTTAAATTCATCTCATTTAAATTTTAGCCGACTTGACAAGTTAAGCTTAATTTGGTTAATAAGTTGGCTAATTTTGTAATTCATTTGGCCAAGTCTTAATTCCAAATCTATCATCTTATTTATCCTTACCTTGAAATCCTAAAGGACCAAATTTGGGCCTTTTTTATTTTTCAGCAGCCCAAAACCTCAATACCAAAGACCCAACAGCCCAACTCCCCCCATTCTATTTTTCTCTAATTCCCAGCCCACCCCCAATTATCTCCAACAACAATAATTCCTCCAGTAGCCCACTTGTTTTTCACTTAACCCGGCCCAATTCCCTTATTCACAATAGAAAACCCAGAAGATCTCAAACAACAACAATTCACATAGCGTGAGTTCACGGAAGAAAACGACAACGACTCCAAATCGGCCCTGTACGCGCCCCATCTTCTCCAATGCGTGAATCAGTACATGCGTCTCTCGTCTTTTTCCAAACGTCCCTATCCATTAATGTCGCAATAACAGTCGTACGAGCACGCGTTTCTCCCCTTTCCTCTTACGGAATAGGGTGAAATCTCAGAGGAAAGGGTGTCTCCCTTAAATGGTGAAAGATTTTGAACTTTGAATTTGAAGGGGAATTTCGTTTGTGCCCTTGTTCTTATCCGTTTCTCCGAAGTTTTCCCCCCCATTCCGAAACCCTAGATTTCGCCTATAAATTCCCCTTCTTATTCATTGTGTGAGTAGAAGAAAATTTGGAGAAAATTGGGAAAAAGTGAGGAAGAAAATCGAGAAAAGGTATAAGAAGTAAATCACAGTTGCTTATCACATAGCTTACAAAAGGTCTTAGGAATTGATTTCTACGGTTGAAAAATCCTTAGAAAGATTCTCTAGTTCTACACTTCTGGAGGTTTCTTCGTCTAGTTTCCATTTGGATTTCTTGGTTCATTGCTCGAATCGGAACCCGCGTGGAAGAAGCTGCCGCTCCTCTGCTCATCTCGTTTTTGTTCGCTGCCCAAAAAGAGGTAATGTCTTCCTTGGCTTTGTTTGATTTTCAGTCCTTCCCTGTGTTTGTTAATGATCTGCTCTTCGTTTTGTGTGTATTATGTTTATGTGTGAGTTTTATTTTAATCCCCATATGTTGAAATCTGGTCAAGGAGTATTCACTGTCTCTGGTTGCTTTATATCGTTCACCGGATTAAAGAAGATATGTGGCAATCGTGGTGATAAGTTTCTTTAATTAGTTTGATCTTCTTACATGCTGTGTTTGACGCCAATTTCATGGTTAGTTTGCCTGCTGGTGATACTTCTCTAGAAGAGTTAATTCGGTTAAAAATGATATATCATAGTCTGAGTAGTTCTGACCGACTATAGGTTAGCAAGCATCTATATGTTTGAATTATATTCATTTCGGAGATTTTGCCCCTTGTTTTTGTTGTTAAACCTCTTCTTTAGTGCGGCTTTAATTATTAGCTGATTTTATTTTATTTTCTACATTAGTCTTAAATAGTAGTCCGGTTCATTTCCCAGAATATATGTCTTTTTCTTAAAAATGATTTTCTTTGGGCATAATATTTCAAGATATAGGCTCAATGTTCACATGACTGTGTACATGTTGTAATGTGTGGTAAAGATCAACCTTACTCTTTTTTTTTATATGGTTGTTGTTCATATGCATGTGTTGCTAGCTACTGTATTGACTCATTCGACTTGGAATGATCAACATGGTCTCTTAGTTTCTCTTTTAAAGTTCGTTAGCTTTCAATGTGTCTCTGTGTAATATACTTTAGTAGGATTGTATGTCGATTTATACTCTCTTGAGCTCGTTCACAATTCTTAAATAAATCGTGTTACTCTCTCTATTTTTATCTCAAGTTGGTTTATATATGGAGTAATTTTTTTCCTTTGCTTCGTTTGCATGTGGAAACTCCTTTGAGTTCATGGTGGACTCTTTCTCCTCTCTTTTGCATTTTAAAATTGAGCCATAGGCTCAAGTCTTCCTCATCGAGTCAACCTCTCTTTCATTTGGATCATAGAGAAGCTGGTGAACAGGTCCTTGGAGGCAAAATGCAGGTGGAATGGGAAATATAAGTCCCAAAAGTCCAGAAAACGAGTTGTATACACA